CATGTCAGAGAAGGCTTTTCTTCTGGATCCTGCCATCTTAACTTCATTGACCAACAGGACCTACAGATGCCCCCTCTGCCAGCAAGTGGGGTGAGCTAGTCCCATTGAGGTGAGGCGCAAGGAACCCATACCATGCAGAGCTTTAAAGGTAATGACCAACACCTTGAACTGCACCCAGAAACAAACTGGCAATCAGTGCAGCTCATAGAGCAGTGAAATAACATGAGCCACTCCAGGGACCCTAAAAATTGCCCACTCACTGTACTCTGCACCAGCTGTAGTTTCTGAATACTCTCAAGGATAGCCACATGTAGAGTATATTGCAGTAGTCCAAACATGAGATGACGGGGGCTTGAGTGACTGAGTGAGGGACTCCAGATTCAGGAAAGGCTTGCTTTAATTTAAAGTTTTAATTTGCTTGATAAAGTCTGGACTTCGTAAGAAATTCCAGTGTCATGTATGCCTCAAGCAGTAATGTTAGTAATTGTTGGCCATTAGTAACTGTCTGAAAATGTACCTGTTGAAACCACCCCTGTTCTGTCTCTGAGAGGTTTTTGAAGCTTCATCAGTATTACATATACATGGTGCAGTAGATAATATATACTATAAATAACCATGAAATAATTAACATCAACAGGCTTTTTAAAAGCAGAAAGTTTTGAAATATAAGTGCACTCAGTTGAGACATCAAGCTTGTTCAGGTTTTAGTAACACTTTAAACAGTCAGAATCATTCATGACAATGTTACAAGCCAGAATACGCAATCCCACTCTGAAGTCTAAGGCTTTTAAGGCACATATGGATTTACTTCATTCAGAGTTTCCTGAATGAACATAGCACTTGCAAGCTTTTGCAAATACTTCCAGCATAGCTCAATCACTGACATGTGTAGCAAAACTAGACCTTAATAAAGTCACAGATGATAGAAATTAAACTACCTGTCCCTGAAGTGTATGTGGAGTTATTTAAACAGATTGCATGGCTTAAATAAAAATTAATTTGCATTTATTCTTTGTGGAAGCTACTGGATTTTTACCTACAGCATGCAAAAAGTTTTCTGTTTTTCCCTATGGAAATAAAAAAGCTCATGTAATATGTTCTGAGAGTAACTTTTTTCTCTCTCATACCTCTCAAAAAAAATACAGTAGTGAATAGTAGAGGAGCTTGGATAAAGGTCCAAATAAAGACTAAATAAATATTAGTCTTTTCCAGATATGTAGTTCTACAGTGCCCGTCATTCTTACCAACACTATACAGCCTCTTCTCAGAGATATTTCCTTATAAATTCCTCAATGCCTTCAACAACAGAATTTCTATAGTATGGCTGGATTAGAAAAGGTGGGATTCAGAAATGTATTTGCCTTGAAAACAGCCCTTGTTGTTACTGACATCAGCACACAAAATGTTTTATAACATCTTGTATTATGTCATAAACTGTTTTATGATGGATTTTAGACCATAAAATATTTTATAAAGTTTGCCAAATTTCAATTCCACTGGGAATCAAGGTCCCCGATTTTTGACACATTCTGTAACTTAATCCACTTGAGATATTTTGGTTCAAAAATTGTCATACAATGCTCTGCTGCAGCCACTTAAAAGTTATGGGAATGACACTTTTAGTAATAGATAGACAGATGAAAGATGATAGACAGACAGACAGACAGACAGACAGACAGACAGACAGACAGACAGACAGACAGACAGATAGATAGATAGATAGATAGATAGATAGATAGATAGATAGATAGATAGGTGGACAGACAAAATATATAGTCTTCATGTTGACTGTGGGAACAAGTAATCAAATAACTTTAAGGCCATCAGGTAGGGGAAGGAATGTGTATACATTCAGTAGAGTGATACAAAGAAGAATCTAGAAAAACAGCAGTGAGAATTTAGGCACATCCTTTGGATATTCTGTTGAACATACATTGGATCTGAATTTGAGCTTTTTTGAAGATGAGCCAATGGGCACAATCCAGTTTCTCCACTTCATGAATTAATTTTATGGGAAAGCAGTTTTAAGGCATCCATTGCAGCCTAAAAGAGGGCCCGTACATCCTTCAATTTAAAGACCAGTGAAAAGAGATTTGGCATTCTTAGATGAGTTTCAGATTAAATAGCCAAAATCTCAAAAAATTCAAGCTTTTTTAAAAAAGAAAAGAAGCAAAATGGAAGGACATCAGAATTATTGTCTGAGTCAGAAAGATTGCTGATACTTTCCAAAAGGTTCAGAAGATCCTGTGATTAGGAAGATTCTTACAAACCAAAGGGGATGATTTACAGCAATCTTAACTTCACTGTCCTCCCAGAATCTTTTGCTTAGAATGCAAAACCTTTTAATTGCCTTGGAGAGGTTTAAAACTTCCTTTACTTATTTGGAGACACTAGTCTTTTGGCTGTGGTTTGTTCTCCAAGCTTGTTTTAATATAATTCCTGAATGTTTCGTTACCAAACTAGATAACATCATCAGCAGGATTTTCTTGTCCTATTCTCTTTAGCTCATAAGCATCTTGTGTGCCAATGTGGTCTGTTGTTTGGAGCTATATTTGAATTCTGAGCAGCTGATTGGTTATCTTGTTGATTGGCACTTCGAATGGTCTGGTTTCTTACATATTTATATGTTAGATCTAAATCAATATGTTTGTTAACTGTTCCTTTGGTGGAATATCAGGTCTCAAAAGGTTTACTAGTCTTTGTCCCACAATATCTGCCCAATGTTGGACTATCTATCTGATGAAAGATGAATATTTCATGTTTTTTGTTGTAGCAAAATCATATCATGAAATGGTACATGAATGGAAGAACAGCAAAAACAGGAATAATTATAATTTCTAGCCAAATGGACATGTTTACAGTGTATCAGATTATTAAAGTTGGGGTAATCATGGTTTCCAAGGGCTGATGTGCAAAGTATGTGCAGCCAACTTAGGATACCTATGGTTGGAAGATTAAAGGCAACTAATATGAATTAGATACTTACTCTTTTTCCATTTTTATTTTCAAAACTACTGTTATTCTGGCAGGAGGTTCCTCTTTAAATTTCATATAGAAAGATAAGTTGGATATATGGGAGAGGAAATATTTTGGACAGTGGGGATTTTTTGACATTACATTTTGCTTATCAAATAAGGTAGTCAAATTTTTTGCTCATTAAGGAGTTATGGCATGGGCATTTGGCCATCATTAATTCTGTTTTCACAGTCCTGCCTCACCCACAATGTTGCAGTTCCTGTTTTATCAGCCTGCTCAAAAATGAAAAATATAATGGACAGAAATAGTAAATAATCTTGCTGCGTAGCAAGTCATGGAATAAAACAATTTTTCACCATGAAACTGCTTCCTTCTTTCTATCTCAATGGCAACCTGTTCCTCCAGTAACAATTGTATTGTGAATCTTCCCATTCATGACATGAGAGGAACTGAAGAAGCTTCTTGGATTAGAAATGAAATGTTTTCAAATTAAAAAAAAACCAAGAAAATCCAGTTGCCTTTTGAAAAACACCTGTAGGACAACCATTACTTGAGTGATTGAGAATATCCCTAGAAACATGTAAAGAACTATCCAAACTGGAGGATCATCCTGGTTGTGAAGTTCTTTCAGACTCAGGAGTGGCTATTGGACCCATTTATGTAAGAAAGACTATAAAATAAAATTATAACAAAAATTATAAAAGAAGCATATAAAAATACAAAGTTGTTATTATTGTTATCTACTTTTCTTCAGAAATGGCAAAGTCTTCCTAAGGGGTGTTGAAAATATTTGATAGCTGTTGCTGACATCCATTATGTTCATTGGTAGCCTATTAGTTTATGTTAATTACATGTAATTAAACTATACAAAATAAATAAATATCACCTGTATGATATGCTGCCAAGCCTTTTTTAAAATGAAATTAATTCTGCCTTTCAGTAATACACTATTCAGAGTTATATTCAGGTATTCCAATATCATCTTGCTTTGCGCCAAGAATAATCAAACCAACCAAAGGAAACAAAGTTAATACTAATTTAACACTTCTGTATAAAATACCTGGATTCCTACAAGGTGTTACATTCATTTTTCCCCAGCACAGCCTCATTCAATTTTAAAGACCTGACACTGTGCATTGACCTTTCTGTTCCTGCTTGTTTTTTTTTCCTTTATTTTTTTTTAACAAACTTTGAATTGGACAGCTGCCTTATTTTACAAGATAAATGTGGAATTCTCTTTTGTCTGCAGCATGGTCCCTTGGGTACCAGGACCAAAACCCAAACTTAGCTCTGACACAGCTGGAGAGCCCATTCCTCAACTAAACAAATGCCTTAAGCCCTTTTATGATTTTTACAGCATGTCAAAATTCATATTGGCTGCCAATATTGATGTGATTCGTGTTGCCTCCTCTGAGCCATAAAAGAGGTAGACAGTTATCAATTTTTGAGATGTATCCAAGGAATTTGAGGGCAGATACACTTCCAAGTTATAAATGATTCCAAAGTCACAGGCCTCTTAACCTAGAAACTGATTTTACATAAAGCAACATTTTTGTTATTTATTTATGTCCAATATTTGTTTAAACAACTACAAAACAATGATTTCCTCAAAATAAATTTGCTGTACATGTAAGACTTATCTCATGTGTATTTTGCTTATGGCATTGGATTTTTATATCATTACTTATATAGTATTGATAACATTATTCAGAACTGATTTTTGATGCAATCTCTGTCTTTCCTTTACATCCACCCTCAGAGCCCATATGATTCATGAGGTTTTTAGTTTATTTCCTTGTTTGCAGAGTACATTTATATAGGAATTAATCTCTGAATGGTCACACATATAGTTATATTGCTAATGCTCATCTTTAATTATGTTCAATCATTAACTATACTCACAATTTTATATGTGTGTGTGCGTATATACATATAGATACACACACATATACATACATACATACATACATACATACATACATACATACATACTTAACTAGAAAACAGAAGGAAAAGCTACTTACACCAAGACCCCCACAGGGCAGCAATGAAAAAGACTTGTGAGATGTACTGCCTGTATTAAAAATAAGAAATAAAAATGTACATAAAATATGTTTTTTCCCAAAATGTACTATTAAATATTTTTAGTAATTAATCAAATAGTAATAACATTTCTTAAAATCTTCCCAAAGAAGTTAAATTAAGTTAGGATAACTTTTGGGGTGACTGGTTAAGCAACGTACAAAGCCTCTTGAGCAGATATCACTGATCTTGTCCTCTCCAGATACGTTGGACTATAATTCCACCGAGAGCCATGCTTGCTAGAAATAATAGAGTTGTAGTCCAATACAAGAAGATAACATGATTTTATACACTGCAATTATTTTGACTCTCATTTGCCTTTTTTTCCCATAATCCCCAAAGTTGTAGCTAACCCCCCTCCCGTATAACAAGTATTCAAGCATTTTGGTTACAAACTAAGTATTACAAACCACTCTTCTACATTTTTTCTGATATTTTCTATCTTTTTCCAGTCATGGTAATTCAAAATGTACATATATGTCAGATGTAGGCATCAATTCATTTCAAATCATTACAATGTGAGCAGTTTTATTTCCAGTCCCTTTTCTAATGATTTCTAGCATTGAATTTGCCCTTTTCACATCTATCACATACCAAATCAGCTATTGGTTGATTTGGTTGACTGTTATGACCCAAATACATTTTTCCTAGTTTGACTGGTTTGAACATATGTGAAGTTGGGGAGGTACCTTGGTGATCATCAAACCAAAAGCAAACCAAAGACTTTGGGTCTAACTGCAACCATGTAACATAGCTTCCTATAGATCAGGGCTTTTCAACCAGTGGTACGGGTACCACCTGTAGTACATTGGCACCTGGCAGGTGGTACGTGACCATCCTAGAAAAGTGGTAGAGGGGGAAGGGAATGAGCTGAACTGGTGGCAGCACTGCACAAGCCTGAGCGAGAGATGGCTGGAGCTGCAGGCTGTCAGGGGTCAGCGGAATCACCAGGATCAGTGTCACTTTCCAGCTGATCGGCACTGTCAGGACTCAGCGGAAGCGCCAGGATCAGTGCTGCTTTCCAGCTGATCTGCGCTTCTTTGGGGCTGTCAGGGCTCAGTGGAAGTGCCAGGATCAGTGCCAGGTTCCGGCTGGAGCTTGGCGCTGATCCTGGCATTTCTGCTGAGCCCAGAAGAAGCACCAATCAGCTGGAATGTTGCAACATCTCCAGGATCTTGTGATTTACATTCAGATGCTTGGCAACTGATTCATATTTATGATACTCACATAAATATTTGTGAAGTGACCAAAACCTGCTGCAACCACCCAGCAGACGGGGAGAATAACACCTCCCACCCCACGCCCGCTGCCAATCCTCAACAGAAATGCTCACAACAATAAAAACCTCGGACAGGAGGAAGAGTGTGGCCGGGTGGGCAGGCAGGTGTCTTGCTCGGCTGTGGTTTGGGGGGAACTTTTTCAGTGCCATTGTAACTTCAAACAGTCACTAAGCGAACTGTTGTAAGTCGAGAACTACCTGTACTTCATCACTTTTTTCCTTTTTTTTTGTTGGTCATCAAGTTTTTGACACTTTGCTAGGCGACTGGTGGTACTCGGATGTTGCCATATCCTAAAAGTGGTACAATGGGCGAAAAGGTTGAAAAACCCTGCTATAGATTATAGATAGTTCTCCAGCATGATGAGTGCAGAATCCATCGGTGGTAATTTCAGCCTTCCTGCTCAGAAGAGACTAAGTCAGAACTTTAGCCATGCCTCCCCCTGGGTGTGTCTTCCCAGTTTTTGACTTAGTCTTGGCTCAGTAGGGCGCAAATCTTTTGGCTCTTAGCTAGACTATGTTAATTGATCATCTAATTGAATTTAATTCATTCTGCAGTATCTAAATTGTAGTGTTTTTTCCTTTTTTCAATTGGGACTCAAATTGACTAAATTTAGTATTGGAAATTGTTATGTCCTGAGCCTGTGCAAGCAGGCTCGGGGCATTGCAAACGGTCCCGGGCAGGTGCAAGTTACCCGGGACCAGAGAGGCTGTCGCCAGTACTTGTGCGCATGCGCAAGTGCTGGCACGCCAAAAGTTGCAGATTGACCCGGGGATGGCCTATATAAGAGGCCAGGAGTTTTGGCCGTTGCCGGTGTCTTCTAACTGTAAAGCTGAACTAAGAATAAAGAGTTCCTGAGAACTACAACTGCTTCTCGTGTCTTGCCATTTCGCGAAGGACGCAACAGAAATTGACTCAGGCCTTCTGGCTTCGAGCCTAACAGGCTCCTGTGGAGAAGACTGCAGGCTATTTTCAGGTGGGGCTTTCAGCTCCGATTAAGCGGATCAGCGGGAGCGCGGACCAGCTGACCAGCTGGCTTGCGGCAAACGGAGTCTTTTCGGGACTCAGGTAGCTCGGAGGCTTCCCTTTCAAGCTTCACCGACATGAGGCTTCTCTCGGCAGCAGAGTTCGGATCACAGCGGAGGCTGCGCGACTAATAGCAAGTGCCTTTTATGAATGCGGGAAAGTGCTTTCTTAGCTTGGCTGATTCTTAAGGCTCTATCTAGCAGGGGGTTTGATTACCTTCTATTCCACTTTTTCAGCGTGGTCGCCATTCTTTTGGAGGCACTGAACGGGCGCAGCCACCATTTTAACCACATGCTCAAGATGCGGCCGCCATTTGGGGAGTGTTATTAGGCACGACTGCCATTTTGAGAGTGTCATTAGGCACGGAAGCCATTTTGTAGGAACCTTATGTTTCTATCAAAGATATTGAGGCCTGCCTTTATTTGCCATTGGCCTGCGTTGTCAGGCCTTTAACTGGGGGGAAGTTTTTCAGTGTGTTATCAGGAGAATCACATGGTTGATTCCTGTACTGTATTGGTGTTATTGTTCTAACTACTCATTGAGGTTCAGTCACATATCCTTGATTTCTGGTGTGAGTTGAGCGAAGGGGAATTTATTTTAAATCCACCTGTTCCAATTAGTGTGTGGCACTGTGTCACAGGCCTAGACAGGCAGTTCTAGAGAGTTGTCTGGCTGTCTTTTGCCATTGCTGTTGTGCAGAGCAAGGATCGTTTTCCATCTCTGTCAACTAGATCTGCGTGTTTGGGTTCCCCCCACTTCTGGATATCTTCTATCCGGATTATCCAGACTACAATGGCAGACAATTCCTCGACCCAGGCATCACAGGGCTCTGGTATTCCCCCCGCACAAACAAAGCGCAGATCTACTGATTTGGATGCAGGGGGAAAGAAAAAAAGCCAAGACAAAACACATCTCCACCAAAGAGTCCTCCAAGTCAGCTGAGCGAGAGGCCTTGAGGAGACATCTGGCGCTGGAAAGGGAATTCTCCAAAGCCCAAAGGCTTATGTCCAGTGAAGCTGAAGTGGTTCCTCCAGTTCCATTGGACACTTCTCCATTTGAGCCTCCATTTGCACCTTCTCATGATGCCCTAGGGCTTGGTTTCCTCAGGAGGAAACTGAACAGGTTGGTCCCCCTCGCTCCTCATCTTCATCTACTCATCAGGGTCCTGAAGCCACATTTATCCCAGCTCAGGCTGGGGTTAGTTCTATGGAACAAAGGGATATGTGGTCAGAACAGTTTCAAGCTTTCATGCACCATGCGTTTATGCAATTCATGTCTTCCTCTAGGAGTTAACGACCCTTGCAACCACCAATGCCTCCGTCTAAACCTCCTTCTCAAGTGGGACGTGCCACAGTCCCCGGTTCAGGCATCTCTGAGACTTCTTCCCAGCTAGGGGAGGAGGGGTCAGTGGACCTGGTGATAGCCGACACACCCATGTCAGAGGATGAGGAGGCAGTGCCTGAACAGGCGCCAACTTCGGGGCTTTTTGACCCTTCTCTTTTCAGGTCTCTACTAATGAAGGCCTGTACCACCGCCAACCTCACTTTAGTACAGGAGGAGAAACCTTCCACCTCCACCAGCCAGGAGTCTAACCCCTTGTTCGCAGAACAGATTGTGGAGGACAAGCAGATTCCTTGTCCACAGGTTTTCCATACTACGGTGGAGAAACAGTGGTCATCCCTGGCTACTCTACCTTCTCCTAATAGTACAGAGAAGAAACTCTTCAATGTTTCTTCTTCATTTGCTTCCTTCTTGGAGGTGCCTTTTGTAGACACTCCTCTGACTTCTTTGTTTTCCACATCTGCTATTCCAGGGGATATGGCTGAGGCCCTGAAGGCAGAAGACAAGAAGTTTGAGCTTTCTCTCCACCGAGCTCACCAGGCTTCGGCATAGGCGATCAAGGCTGCAATTTCATCCTCTTTCTTCGCAAGGGCATCAATCATGTGGCTTCGCGAACTGCAGGCAATTGTTCCCCCGGATCAGGTTCAGACACATCAGACATTAGGGAAGCTAGTGGCTGCTTCAGAGTACATGGCAGACGCTTCTCTTCATTCGACCAGGTACTCTGCTAGTTGCAGCCACGGTTGCCTCTCGTAGGCTACTGTGGCTGAAACAGTGGAGAACTGACCTGAAGTCCAAATGGCATCTATCGACGGCCAAGTAAAGCAGCACACGGTTATTTGGGTCAGTCCTCGAACCACACATTATTGACGGCAAGGTTAAATGCAAGATTCTGGCACACCTCTCCAAATGGTCAGATAGGCAGCCCCAGCAGGAGTTTCGTAGGCAGGCTTTCTGTCCCAGTGGTTCCTGGGAGTGGAGGCAGCCCTTTCAGGCAGGGCAAGTCCTGGGATTGGTCAAGAGGCTCGCGATCCTTTCCCCCCAGGCAGGATCGTCCACAGGACTGCCAGAGCATGGGAGCCAAGGGCCAATTCCAGTCCAAACATCCCTTCCGGGGCTCGGGGGGCCATCCCTACAGGTGGTCCAAATGATGCCAAGGAGGACTCTCCCATTGGGGGTTGCTTGGCGCTGTTCAGCAACATTTGAGAGGCTACCACCACCAACTCTTGGGTCAGAGAGACCATCAAATATGGTCTCACTCTAGAGTTTTACTCTCTTCCCCTGGACCGTTTCATACAGTGCCCGGTGTCACGAAACACAACCAAGGCACAATTGGTAGCCAAGGCCA